ATTGGAATTATGTAACTCAATTATCAAATAATAATTTATAATACATTATTAAGAATTTAATGTCTAAACTAAATAATAATTACTAGTTGCGTTTATTCGTATATTACAATAAATGTAGACAGAATGTAATTATTATTTTGTTTAAGACATTGAATTTCACTATGAATAATTTTTTTATTAAATCAACTTGGATTGCATGTTATTCTAACTTTTTCTTTGCAAAAATATGGCTGTTTTAATTTGTATAATAGTTGAGCAGAAACTRAGTCGATTTAATAATTTGAAATTCATAACACACCCTTTTTATTGTGTAGAACACGAAATAGTTTTTAGAAAACACTGCAATTTATCATGCTATTTCAAATAATTTCAAAAATGGATATTGCATATCACATTAATTTATATCAGAATAGTGAACTAAAGAGTAGATAAATTAAGTTGTCCTTGTATATTATCCGAAAGAAAACGAAACGTAACCTAATATTTTATTTAGGTCTTTATATAAAAATCGAAAGACTTAGAGTGTAGAGTTCTACTTCTACTGCTAACATAATAAAATATTTCAAGTAGTGATATTGTTGTAAATAAGTTTGTGATATTTTTTCAGAACCGTATTTAGGGTGAGGCTCGGGTGGTTGAATACTCAGGTTGCTAAAAAAATAATCGGTAGTACCTAAGACTCACTTATATATTTTGTAACTATTTTAGGAATCATGTTTGATCATTATGAGAAATAAGCAATATGATGGTGATGTAATGCCAAATCATGAAATGAATGACGAACAATTAAAAAAAATTATAAATACACCAGAAACACATTTAATGGTCAACAAAAAATTCATACGTTTCTTGTCATATGTAATTGTAATCCAAAAGTATTCTTTCCAAGAGTACTATGTTTTTTTTTAAAGAAAAAGTACTTTCTTCTCTATTACCTACATAAATATTATGACACGAATGTTTTTTTGACCTTTGTACGCCGGCTTTAAATTATTCTATACAGGAAGATAATTTCAACTTTAAAAAGAGTGGGTTTACTTTAGGTTAATTATTTTAATTTTTACTAGCCAATGTGGGAAAAAGGGCGTAGGAAAGGACGCTGAAATAGTTTTAACTTGGAGGTTCCAAATCACTAAATACGGTTCATAGACTTTGTACTAGCAGAAGACAATGAAATAATATAACCGATGTACCTATAATGTACCTACGTATTCGAATAATTTGATCTGATAATGGGTTAGGTAGTTTTAATCATCAACAAATGTAATATATTAAAATAATTTGAAAATATTATTCACCCAAACAATTTAAATTATAATATGTTACAGTATTGTGCACAAAACACAATAATTCACATATATTCACATATAATTATTACTTAACATTTTAGTACTTAATTCATTTGATTAACAATACAACTATAAAATCGCTATAATATATCATAACATAATATACCTTATGGTATCGAACATGGTGACCAGTGACAGAAGTGTTGTGACCAGTAGAACCATTCGACCAGGCACGACTTCGGGCATTACTACGAAGCTGCCCCAAGACATGATGACGAATAGCGTGCTTGGCAAGTAGCTTTCTAGCAGATGACTCCTGAGTTCACGGCTAAGTGTTATTACCAACCGTGCCGTGGAATGATTACCTACTCGGATATAAAATAATTATGTCACAATAATTGATGTTTTAGTAATGTGTACAGACAACAGGCATATTATACAAAAATAACCCTGACGAAGTGACGAATATAATGGTGATATGAAAAACCTCGAGTAAAAATAATATCATTGGATTCAAATTTAACTCTATCCATTACAGTAACCCATTTGTAACCTACTTGCAGTACAGCAGAGCGACATCCACGACTTACCAGCTTTTTTGTATTTTATAAGTGTTCTTTCTAAGAGCTCTTTTTTTTTTTAGTTTTCGTATTCTGAAATTGGTATGGTACATTTAATGTGTGTTTCTGTTTGTATTTATTTTAATTATTTATGATTTGTAGATTAAATTATGTCATGCTTATTATATTTTATACCCGTAYGACCTAGAGTTTTCGGGCCGATTTCTCAATCTACCTATTTTATAACTTRAAAATTTCGAGCCAAAATTACAAAAAAAAAATTAACCTATAGAATCCAGTTTATATTTGCCCCTATAAAGTACTAAGTTCTTGTATAAAATGTAGGCATTAACCAACGCATAACTATGCAGGAATATATTCACGTGTGTTAGCACTGTTAGCAAAGTTTAAACTCACC